CAAGTTGTTCTTGGGAAAAATCTATTTGGAAAAATGATGAAATTAGTATTTCCTCGACAAGATATCCAAACTGTTGACAGCGAAGAAGATGGTTCACATGAGCAACCGATTGCATTCGCTTCATACGTACACGGATATTCTAACAGATACCTTATTTGTTTATGCCGGAATCGCAGAGTTGTCATATGGTCACTGAAGACACGCCGACATTTAGAGTCCAATCCACTTTCTTTTATTCAAGATGATGATATAGATATGGATATGAATGATTCTGAAGACTGGCCATTAGATTATAATGAACCATTAAATCCATTGCCACCAACTCCACAAAAATATATTCAAGCATTAGTATCAAGTAATATATATAGTCCAATGACTTTCCATTTTGTCGTTTTTATTCCTACTTCTGGTGATGGTTTCTTCAGGCTTTATCGTGTTCGTGTCGATGCATCAGGTGGATTAAGAGAGATGTCTATGATTGGTCAAACATTTAATAATCCAAGCGAACAGCTCCAAAATCGTGATTTCCCTTTTCGAAACTTGATAGACATGGGATTAACACATACTCGTTTATTAGAAGAAAGCGAATCAGATAACGGGAATGGACAAACTTGGAGGCAAGAATGGAGATTGTGGGCACTATGGAAACGAAATCGCCAAACAGCACTGACTTACACGAATTTTCATATAACTTACTATGGCTCTGTCGATAATAACTTAGAAGATGCTATCACTGCCATAGAAATGTTTAATTTTGGAAAACGATGGGAATTCGTTACAAAAACTCCAATTAAAACGCATGATCACGGATATTTATCTAATATGCTTAAAGATGGCGATGAGCAATTAGATCATGTCAAAGTTTACACAGATTACTTATTTTGCCCTGGACGATTCTCAACATCTATTATTAAATACGCACTTGAAAAGTATACTCGAAACATTGTAAAAGATGAATCTGAAGATTTCGTTATTTCGAATAATGATGGTGATCTTAAGCAAAAAGTCAAACATGTAGTGGCAAAACATATTCTTTTGCATAACGATCGCGAAAACGATATTCCACTCGAAAATGAACACAAAACAAACGTTATAAATGAATGGTTACGTTTTGTATTGTTATGTATTGAAATACAAGAACGTGCTAATCTTCCTATGAGTCTTTCTCTCGTTCAAACTGGCTCCTTTGTGGGTATTACTCATCAAGACAGCATATCTGTTCTTCGTGTTTGTGATATATTAGAGTTCTTGCAATATTATACTGGGGAAGAAGTACATGAATTAAATTTAAATATATCATTTAACCAACTATTTCCATCATATCCTACTATAAGTGAATGCGAAGAAGTCGATATGATAAACGTGTTCGCCGCAGCGAATCTTGTTATATCTCCAATGACAGAAATTGATTTATTAATTTTCGATCGTAAAATCATTAAAACGCTTCCTAAACCATTAATGACTTCAGTGAGGCAAAATGTTTCAGAATTATACGATAATCATTTACGTCACCGTTTGTCATCGGAGTTAAAGGCGAAAATTTGGTCCAGACTGGATTTATGTTCACAATTAGACAGAACACTTCAAACAATTATTGGAGCTTTAAATGACGTAAAATTTATATTGCGTGAAAAGGATGAGAATATTGACACTGTTAAAACGACCATTTTCATGGATGCTTTAATTGCATCGGCTACAACTGATATTATTCAGTCTCATTACATTATAGCGCGTAATATATTTCTTTTACTGATCGTAATACTTAATACAAAACCAAATTCAGGTTATGATCAGAAAATGTCTATGGGGATGTCCACTCTATACGTATATATGATTTTAAAGTGGATATCAGAACAATCTGCATATTCAGATGCAACGACAAACTCTACATCCACAACTGTCGAGGATGGTATGTTTAAGAAATTTTCACATTTGAGTGTGATCAGTCCCACAAAGAACGTTTCGGAATCACCAGATTTGCGATATAGCTTGCTCCATAGTCTTATTGTCCAACAATATCCCCTTAACTTGAGATTCCAATCGCAATTAATGCCTGTAATAATCATGCGTGGTGTGCAAGAATTATTGGATAGAATTGGATTTTTACCAGAAACACCGCATCTCATGGTTATGGCACCTGAAGCTTATGCCAAATTTGGTCATCTTTTGGAAGCATCCGGTTACATAGGGCATCTTCATCAATACGTTCAGTTATTACTTGATACACCAGCAAATTTGTACCTTCATGGAAAGCAACTTTTAAAAGAACGTAAATATGATGAAGCCGAGTACAAATTTAAAAGAGCTGGATCTGGATTTGGTTAGTCAGTTTATTTCTTTTTGATAGTTTATAAAATAATTGTAGTTTGCTAACTTATTTTTTAATTTTTCAATACCTTTTTAGCTCATGATATGACACTTCCTTCATATACTGCTGGACCAATTATTCCGTCGCAAGATTATATACCTGGAAATTTGACAGCGTATTATCGCCATGTCGCCGTTTTATACGAAAATTGTGAACAACCCCTTCATGTTATAAACTTTTGCAAGCTTGCATTAGAAGCATTTAGTAGTGAACAGGTAAATTGCGTGTTTTTATATGATTTTTTTTTGCTTTGCCCGTTTATGAATTTAAGTCTTCATTTTTTTTTATTTTTTATTTTTTATTTTTTATTTTTTATTTTTTATTTTTTATTGATCATCAGCGCCAAACCCCTGAGGGACGTAGTTTAGTATCTCAGCTTTACACTAAACTTTTCACTAATGCTCTTAAAAAAGATATGTTCGATCTGGCATATAATGCAATAGTGTCTAATCCAAATCCATTATCGTAAGGAATCATTCTTCGCTATGTAGATTCAGAAATTCTAAATTTAATATCTGATCTTCTCAATGTTTTATAGCCAGCAGGCAAATCTACGTCCTTTTGTACGTGATATGTGCGAGAAAAAACAAGTCAGCAAGCTTTTAGAATTTCCATTTATAAATTTTCGACGTGATTTTGAAACTATACTGGAATTCCATGCACGTACACATGATATAAAAGAATCACCAAGCTATTCAAAAATATGCTATACTTATTATTTATCTCGACGGCAAAACAGAGATGGTATTTATCTATATTCTGCTTGATATTCCTCTTGAAATCATGCCAACATATTCAAATTATTTTTAATTAATAACTTTAGCTGCTCGAATTATGTACCAATATGCAAACAAAGTCGAAAGTATGGGTTCGATATTTGACAATTTCCAAAAAGGCATGACAGAGTTAGCTTCTAGCTATCTTTCAGCTATTAATGCGTTGGAAGTGTTAGATAAATCGCTTGCTTGGTTTCATTATAGTCCATTACCACTAAGTGACAATGCTCGAGTAAGTCATTAGCTCTCTAATTAAAATAATTAATACTTGAAAATTAATTTAATATTAGTTATGAATTGAATACTTTTTTGCAGGCTCGAAAAAGGCAAAGAGTTGATGACGAATCTATGAAAGGTAACCATTTTTTTGTTTCGCATTGA